TCACATGAGTCAGCATGAACACCATATTCCGCTTACAAATCTATGTACAATGATGTCATTTCCGATCTCGCAATAATATTGGCTTCGTCACTTCGTTGACAAGCCAATCATTTTTAATGCTAGAAGCTTTAAAACAAATAATCGTACCTTGATACTTTGAGCATCATCATGGTTGTTATTTAATCAATTGGATCGAGATGACTTGAGAAAATCCTTAATTGCATAATTATGATAATAAATATGATGTTAGCAAAAAATCATGTTTTATTTAACATAAGTTGCATTGCCTCAATTTCATTCTTAGAATGATTTAATTAATTAATTTAAATAAGACAAACCATGAACCAATTGTAAATTGAAAGCTTGTTTATTAAAACGCATAAAGTTCTTTCTAATCCAAACGCATAAAAATCCGTAACGAAAAATTGGACCTATTGATAAAATCTCCACCTGTGCATTATTAGTTTACCTGTAATGATTCTATATTTCCACTCGGATCCAATTGCCATTTATAATAATTAATTTATTCGAAAGTTTGGTATCAATATATAATATTCAATGTACCAAATTATGATTATTGAGAATTTACAAACGAAAATAATTCATACAGTACTAAAATTATTAAGATTTTCAGATGCATCACCACATCACGATACATAAGTATTAAGCCAAATTGACAAGTTTTGTATGCTAAAATAGCATGGATTTGATGTTTACTTGCTCTAGTGCAACAATGTATAGGTGACTGAAACTTTATCATGGAATCGAGTTACAATTGGTGGAGCCTTGTGGCTATTAAATAAAAATCATTAATCATTAATAATTACTGTCTTTCGTGTGCTTATTAACAATTACAGATTGATTTTATGCAAAACATTCAAACATACGCGCCAATTTAGATAGCGTTCCCGATGCTGTATATGCTTACTGTGTAATGATAAATATCTAAATTTTATTGTGTATTAATTATAATCTTGCAGATTCTATCATTTGTTACAAATACGTATAAAGATAAACTTTCTCATAAACTTATGTCAATGACAAGAAATTTATCAGTAACATACTATAATTTGAAAAAAGGTATCTCAAAACATATATATGGGAGCTTTTCAATAGAAAGGGAAAAAAGTTTTTAGCAACTTTTTTTAAATTTTAAATTAAAATATCTCAATAACCACTAAAATAAATTTATTAAATTTTTTTTAATTTTATAATTTTATAGAATTAAAATAAAAGAAATTTATTAAATTTAGTTTAATAGTTGTTGAGTTATTTTAATTTAAAGTTTAAAAACTTTACTTAGAAGAAATTTCTTCTCTTTCTATTGAAAATCTCCTATATGATGATTTAAAGCAGGTGGTGTTTATATTTTATATTTGAATAAGCTTTAACATTTTGTAAATAGTTTGGAATCTTTTTTTCCATCCCTAAATATGATAAGTCCATCAGATAATTTAATAAAAATATTTATGATAAAAGTTAATATTTAATATAATTAAAATTCATATATATGATATATAACAAAGTTTATCGACCAATATAATAAAATGATAAATTTAGATGTTATAAAAATGGTGATCAAAAAAAATTATACATTGTATTTAACTTACTCATAAAAAAAATCTAAAAAGCAAAATGTGAAAAGATGATTTTCATAAAAAAAAACTAGAATTTGAAACAAAATTCATAAAGAATTAATAAATAGGCAAATGAAAATACTATTATTAATACAAGAAATCAAGTTTTTTGAGAAATATACAAACTATTAGCAACTTATATTATTTCATAAATTTAAAGATGCAACTGCTATAATAAATTATTGTAATAAGTTACAAAAAAGGAATTATAAAATTGCAGAAACAACTTAAGTAATGCAGTAAGAGAGCTAATACTTATTATATAAATATAGCCCTCTCCTCTAATCTGGATTTCTGGAACCCCCTAGAAACCCCTTATATAATTACTAAATAATTAGTTTAACAGTCCTATGTGGCGCAGTAGCTAATAGTTAACGGTTTTTCTCAAGATTATTCTATAACTGCCTCATGTGGTATAGCAATTAACAGTTAATAGTTTTTTCTCATAAGATCATTCCCATGTGACACAGAAATTAACAGTTAATAGTTTTCTTCATTAGATCATTCTATAATAGCCCTATATAGCGCAGAAATTAATGGTTAACACTAATTTTCTTCTAGATTATGTTATAATGGTCCTAAATGGTGTAGTAATTAATAACTTTTATAAGATTGTAACTGTATTTTTTTACCAAGAATAAAGCTGCATAATAGTTTGGATTAGGTTAGAATAACTTAGCACCTAGTAGTAAAATTAATTAGACCACAGAAGCCATTTTCTTGTTTGGTCAAAAATCATGAAAGGGTACAGCTTTTTTGGGCACACTAGGAGGTTGTTAATGATTGTTATAGCTAATACTAAAATTTGGACTAGAATTTATAATTAAAATGTATATATAAATTTTAGCAAAGCTTATATTTTCAAATCGAGTCTCCAAATTTCAGCATCAGCAGCAATGATAATTATTGTTCTCACAAGTTATGACTACTAAAAAATTTCGGTCAAAATAGCTTTATAATATAATAACAAAAATTACAAATTCAATATTTGTTAAAAATAATTTTATAATCTGCTTACAGAATTTTTCAATAAATGCATAAAATAATAGATAACAAGAAATTCATGATTGTAAATAAAATCTTAGTTATTATTAATATACGCTTTCATATTATTGATGAATCTGTTGCTAAAAAATATTTTGATGTTGAGTTAGTATGAGGGTAGTAATAAAATTTTCAAAGAAACAATTATATATCTAAAATTATTCCTCTATATACGAAATTCACGGCCACTACAATATTTGCTTTGACTTTTACAACCAAAATTGTGATAATCACCACAATATTTTTCATATTAATCAAAAATTGCTCAAAAGTTCAAGATTCATATGACTTTCTTGGATTGTTTTTGACTTTGTTCAGTAATAGACAACTCCCTATTAACAATTAATAATTGTCAATATATATATATACATGTGTTTAACAATCTTTTAAAGAAAAAATTGCTAACAGGCCACTAGGTTCTTGTTGTTCCAATCGATCTATTATTTCACAAGAAATATTAAAGAAAGATTTGACTTTATCATAGTAGGTCTTAATGAGTAGCATCAAAATATTATTTTCCACCTCTTTTAGATCAAATTGAATGCTATCTACACAACTTTCATTTTTAAGATCATGGTTAGGAGTAATACTAACCTCTTTGGCAAGGTCTTTTTTGTTGCATTTGGCATTTGATATTTCAAAATTAAAATCTGATTGTGCAACAGAAATCCTACTACAATTATAACTTTGGTCATAACATGACCTTTACTACTTTGTTATACAAAATAGCCAATTCTTCTAGTAAATTGATTATTGTCTGATGTTGAACAATTGTTACTTGTAGCTATTATTGGATATAATTAAATTAATATTAAAATACATATTTGATTAAAATTTTTAAAGAAGAAAAGCCAATTTAAAAGACCAACTCTGTACAAGATTTATAGTCGAGCTTGCAAAATTAATGCTGTGAAGTATGTCTATATAACATATATCAGGTCTTGATATTATTTAATATGCTTATCTTTGTTTTATACTGAAAGTATTAATATTGATAGTAGCCTACTTTGTTGACAAAATTTCTAGGAAAAGTACTAATTTAGCTGATATTTTCAGCAAATAACAGCACTATTATACAATGCACTATGATATACATTAGAAAGTTCTTAAATTAATATGTGGTTTGCACAGTCTTTGTAAATGGCCATATTAATAATTGTGGTAGGTCATAATGAAATCCAGATCAAAATGAAATTACAGTCTGCCCTCTATATAGTCACTCTTCATATAGTCACACCCTCTTTAAAAGCACACTAATTTTTTATAACAAATGTATATAAAACATAAGAGATTTGACCTCTATACAGGCACAGTTTCTTATAAGTACAAAATTTCTTGAAACTGAGAGCGTGACTGTAGAGAGGTTAGACTATATAATATAAAATCTTAAAAAATAAAATTTTTGGCGATGTATTTTTTAGGGATAGAGATTAGAGGTTAGTTTTAAAGTAAAGTTATAATAAACAAGTATAAGTAGGTTTTAGAAGGTTAACAGGTTGAGTAGAAAATGTAGATTTTATTTTAAATTATGATCTGTAATAATAATTATCCAGAATATGCAAAGTACAAACTAATAATAGTAAATCATTCAAGCTCGAACACCTCTTTCACATTAGAGTTAAGGCTATGAGAAATAACAAGAATCTAAAAAAAAAAAGTTTAAAAATTGGGTTTAAATAAATTTTTTTTATATTTATTTGATTTTATTTTATTTTACCTTTTTTCATTTATATATATATATTTTGGATTTTATTTTCATTTTATTATTATTTTTATTTATTTTTTTTCATTACTTTTAAAAAATTTTTTAATTTTTTTTCATTCTTTTTTTAGCTTCCATTTTTTACTTTAATTTTCTGAAATATATTGTAATAGTAATATTTACAATCATTAACTTAAAAATATAATAATGATAAATATTGAAGTTGCAACTTCAAGCATCTAAAATCTCACCTGCCTAAAATTACTAACCTGAATATCTAATTTCAGGAGCTAACTTCAGTTAATACAACTTCAAGTGCTTGATATTGCAACTTCAAGCTCGATAGATATATCAATTAAGGATCTTTATATCTCTTAAATTAATGCAAAAATAAAATTAATAAGAGAAACAGTATAATATTAAGTAAATACATTGAATGTTATTGTCAGAATCAAAATTAGATTCAACATATTTAATAGTATAATTTAATATACTATTCAACATTATCATATAGCTTTATAAACATGCATGTTCGTAAAATTATTTAATGCTAAATACTGGCTTTGGAATAGATCTAAAGCTTGGGTGTTATTTTTTCTATGAACGTAAAATTTAAAAATTCATAAAAAATTTGGTTGCACAGATAACGTATATATCATAAGATAATTGTCTGAATTTGGGTCAGAGTACTAATTCAAAAATTTTAAAAATGATACTTTGTGCATCTGTTCCAGGTAAGTTATGCATAATGCAGTAATGATAAGCCTTGTAAGATATTATAATAGAGATAAATTTATACATATGTGAAATTTATTCTAACATGATATACAGTACAACAGATAATGCTACACTTATTTTTATTTAACGCTAATTATTTGAGAATTTTCACATTTACATTCCTTATATATTCCATCTGCTACTTTTTTACACATTTTACAATATAGGTGTGAATAGTGATTGCATTCGTCACAAACCTTACACCCATGCTTCCAACCTTTAAAAATATGCCACTTTTCAAAGTGTTTTTATTTGTAAGTATATTATTATGATTTTTTATTGTTATATATTAACAAAAAAATAATAACTAGAATTATTCTATCATACAGACCTGTAATATTTTGGCCTCAGTAGAGGCTAGAACAATAGGCCAGTAAAAAATAACTAGCCAAATTTGTATAACGCACAACTATGTATAATGATAAGCCTTGCAGGTATTGATTAAATATTCACATTTTGCATATGACATTATTTTGAAAGATTACAACAGGAATAACTTTTAATTTTGGTTGTACTGTATAGCAATGAAGCTTTGCTTCTGAATTTATAACAGGACGCATTTAAAAATTAAGTAATAATGGATATAACTTTATTATAAGTGTAAAAATGGACTAGAGTAAAGCTAAGTAAAAAAAACTTAGAGTAGCAGATGTTTAAAGGAAGGAATTTCTTGAGCCCTAACCCAATAAAATGAGAGTTTCTTCCTGCTACTCTATATTATTAGCTAAGTTAAAATTATTTTTGCTATCGATCCAAGCACCTATTTTATTTAAAGTACTACCTCTAAAATC